GTATTTACAGATTAGTTGTAATGTATTTACAGATTAGTTGTAATGTATTTACAGATTAGTTGTATTTACAGATTAGTTGTAAAGTATTTACAGATTTGCAACAATCCCATTTTGTACAGTTTGTTTACTTTCTGATTCAACTGCCTGTCATTTGAACTGTGTTTGGTGAATATAAAATAGTTTCCATGAACTTTTAGTCAAGATTCTTAGCTTTCTATTGATACCAAACCTGTCTAGGTTTAACTTAAAGATGTTAACAGAATTTAAGATATACAAAAATAAAAATAAAAAAAGAGAAATGCAGTTTTGCCTTCGGTACCAGGGGCATGGGGCTCAAGAGGTTAAAACATGTTTACACCAAACACCTGACCTTTGATCCTCACCTGATGTAGACGTAAAGAGGCTCAAAAGACTCCCGTTTTGATGCCTGCTCTATGTAACCAGATCCTTTCCCTCTCAGGAAGATCCGAGCCCCGGTCTCAGTCTGGATGTGAGTCAGGTACGTCCCTGATGGACCCTCCACCTTTTCCTTTACGTTGAATGAAGGCAGCGCTTGGTCCAAACCCACAAAGATCTTAGTGTGCACAAAACTCTTTACGAAAACAAAAACATTTGTTTTTAATCAATATGTTCAAGTAAAGGTGAAAAACACAGTTAGTTGATTTGAATGTGAGCAGATGCAGTCATCCAGGGTCTTTGACTGGAGACCCTGAATGTTCTCTCTGCTGGTTTCTGTTGGAGGTGGGTATCAGTGAAGACAACAGGATCTTCATCAGCTTCACTTTCTTAACCTCCGCTGTCTAAAGCTGAACACCACTCAGGTGAGGCTTCTTACCCCCGTGTGAGGAGCGGCCGGTCGGTGACCGGGACCGGGCGCAGAGTTCGCGCTGGGCGTCCGCGGAGAGGGGACGACGGGCCGAGGGGGCTGAGGGTAGAGGGTGAGGGGGGGGATGATGGGGACCTGCTGACTCCCGGACTCTGCTGAGGCTCTCATCACGTCTTCAGAGATGATCTCCTTTATCCTCAACACGGCCTCTGATGAGGCGGAACAAAACAACACGTTCAGAAACTCTGCTGAGAAAAGCTGACTGAACAGGACTGGCTTGATTTACTCACTGTTGACCTGCTCCTGAGTCTTCCCCTGAACGTGCAGGTACAGAGGTCTTTGTCTAAAACAAGGTCAGAAACATTTAATCTGTTGGCACCAAGGTTTAAATCAGCTCTGTAAAAAACTCAGTGTGATCGAACTGCTTCCAGGTTACAACTGAACCACTATCTTCTCTAGGCCTGTCACCATAACTAATTTTACTGGACGATACATCGTCTCAGATATTATTGCGATAAACGATAATATTGTTGGAGACCAGCTTAAACTAATTTTAAAGATATAACAACCTGTTTATGGAAGTTTACATTAAAATTTACATGGTGTAAAAAGATAAAAACCGTCTGCAATCCCACAGTGCCCTGAGGGTGTGCTGAGGCGTCACCAGCTGTATGGAGGCTGGGGGTGCACCAAAACATCGTTTTACATCACAATCCTGATTCTCATTTACAAAGAGTCAGAATCTATTTAAAATGTCCCAAAATCGAGATGGATGGATGGATGGATAGATGAATAGATAGATAGATAGAGTTGGGTAATATTGGCAAAAACACATGATTAATTGTGGCGTTTAGCTGGTAACGATTAATCCCCTGCATATCTTAGTCACATGACCAATTTAAATCAATCTAGTGGGARAGATTTTCTCTTCGCAAAAATCTGTTCCAAATTGTGTCAAACGTACAGACTCCAGGCTATACCTCATTTTTAAACTGTTTATAGACCAAGTAAAACTGGAGTTATGATAAATAAATTACTGAACTTTTTTTCTAATGTTTGTCACATTTAAAGCAGAAAGGAGCTTCGAGCGAACTGACCAGAGAAATCTCCAGTCAGTCTGCCTGSTGGCATTAATCGTATTAATCACCAAGTGCCAAAAAATTATCAGTTAAAGCTTTTCTGACTGATTATTTGCACATGATACGATTTTGCCCAACTCTATATGGTTACAATAAAAATGTGGAATGGAAATGTGGAAATGAAAACGTGGAATTTAKAAAAATWAAACGTAGTTTGGKGAAAAATAAAACWGATTTTATATGGCCCTAGATTAACTAACGTAGTTTGTGTGTTACTTACTTCAAACGTGATTTTTGTCCAACAGTAAAACAAAGTACAAAAAATAACTGCATTAAATTATTTTCAGGATATATTTCTGTCATTTTGCTGCCAGGGTTTTTAACTTTTACCCACAGGAGCTGTACGTCTGCTCCTCCTCCCACTGAACAGTTTTGTGTTCTYGTGGTAAATGTTTTTACCAAAATACAAACGTTTCGCAATAAGACGCACAAACAGGAAGGTCACAGYTTAAATAATGGTACACAACAAGCCCGCATGATGTGTGTACCAGTTATAAACTCATGTTTTGTCAACAAAACCAAACGGTTTTAGGACCAGAATGTACAACAGCTTCATTCCTCATAACCATAATCTAGTATTTAATCCTAATCCTAGTTTCTCATAACAGGTGCASACATTACTGTTCATTCAACAAACTGTAGTTATTTACACTGTTGAAAAACTCAGTATTTGCCGTGATGTGTTAGCTAACCTTCTTTATCTTTAGGAAATGAAGAAAAACAAGTTAGTCACATACCCTCCTACTTTTCCCTTTTCAGCATCTGTCATGTAATGACCTTTAGTYGAGACCACAGCTCCACTAAACAGTCTGATCTGGAAAAAGAAAAGACAAATTATTCATTTATTTTTAAGGGTAATTTGCAGCTTCTCAGCCACCATTCTGTATCAGCCTGTTTGGTTTCACCTCCTCTTGTGTTTTTCCTTTCGTAAGAAGGTCTCTGCTGTTTAACGGCACATCGTTTATGTCAACTTCTGTCACCACCATTTCCTCCACCGTGGATGGCACAGGGATGCTTGTTGGCATCTAAAAGATGAGAAGCAATAAAGAAAAATGTCAGTTCCTCTGTATGACATAAAACAGACACACTTGTTTCTAAATCTTACCTTTGCAGGTAAGGGCGGGGGAGTCAATAGCTTTCCTTTTGCCATCAACATGGCGTTTATTTTAGCAGCCATCGCTGCCGCCAGCTCCACTCCTCCCTGCACCGGCTTCTCTTCCCTTCCTGGCGGGAGAGAGACGGCGCTGTTCGACCCAGAAGACCCGACAACACCGGGTAAAGAGACGGGCAGAGCTGCATTTCCAACGCTCTTCTGCTGCTGAACATTTACGCTCTCTTTAGGTTGGGCTGGCTTGTCCCAACGGCTCGTTAGGCAGCTGGAAAAACAAACACAAACAGAACATCAAATTTACACACAATGCAGGTTCGGGGATTTCACAATAGCACAGATGCATTAAAAACTATTTCTAAATCAATGTGAAATATTTGTGAAACCACAAAATCTTAACGCAAACTAAAATTTTCTGATTGTGACAGTTTTATACTTCAATATTTGGGTAAAACCATAAAACCGATTGTTACAATATGGGAATAAATTAAAGATGGACTCTGAAACATTTTTAACTTGTTAATTACAGAATTGTAAAGTAACTAAGTACAAAAACTTTGTTACTGTACTTAAGTAGAAAATTTGGTTATCTGTACTTTACTTGAGTAATTATTTTTTAGCATACTTTTTACTTTTACTCATTACATTTTTACACAATTATCTGTACTTTCTACTCASTACATTTTTTAAAAAATGTAAGAAGTAGAAAATCGTTACTCCTATTTTATTCCGAGTTGTTATTACTTAAAAAAATCCTCTCCTGATAAACTGTGTCTCCTATAGAGTGAATTTAATTGTGTTTGGATGAGAAGTATAAATATATACCATTCTGACACACTATTAGCTTGTACACAACCCATCACAGCTGCACGCTGTTAGAAAATATACTTTTTGGAAAAGTCACCTCCCAATAAATGTCATTTTGGAAAATCTAACTGCTCACTTTTACTCAGTTCACTTCAACTCAATTCAATTCAAAAATRCTTTATTGATCCCAGAGGGAAATTAGAAAAGTGGGAGGGGGGAGGGAAAGGAAGCAGCATCATCTCCTGATTTAGTTGAAGACAARCTTGTGGATGTAGAAGAAAAGTCCATGACTGAGGTTGAMGATAAAACATCTGAGGTTTGACAGGAAAGCTGTGGGTCAAAGGAGGGTGAGATGTCTGTTTGGCTGGGGGCAGGAGAGGAGGAAGATGAGCTTGTTCCTGAGCTGAACCTGTTGAAGAATGTGTTCAGCTCATTTGCTCTGTCCAGACTTCCATCCATCCGATTCTCCTTTTGCTTGAAACCTGTGATCTTCTTCATCCCTGACCACACATCTCTGATATTGTTCCTTTTCAGTTTACGCTCCAGCTTCCTTCTATAAACCTCCATGCTGTCTCTGATCTTGACTTTGAGCTGCTTCTGTAYACTCCTCAATAACTCCCTGTCTCGATCCCTAAAGGCTCTTTTTTCTTGTTTAACAGTTCCTTTAGCTCACTGGTGATCCAGGGTTTGTTATTAGGGAAGCATCTCACTGTTCTGCTGGGGATGGTGTTGTCCACACAGAAGTTTATATAGTCAGTCACACTCAGTCATGGCATTTATGTCATCTCCATGTGGCTGGCAAAGAACAATCCAATCTGTAGCTTCAAAACATCCCTGTAGGGCTTCTTCAGCTTCCTGTGACCACTTTCTCACAGTCCTTGTAGTTACAGGTTGTCTCTGAACAAGTGGTTTATATTCTGAGCAGAGATAAACAAGGTTGTGATCTGAATTACCCAGAGGAGGTCTTGCATTGGCGATATAAGAATCCTTAACATTTGTGTTAAACAAATCCGGTGTCTTGTTTTCTCTGGTAGAGCAGCTGACAAACTGTTGAAATGTTGGCAGTGTAGTGCAGTGTTGACAAGCACTGCTAATCCACCTCCTTTCTTTTTCCCGCTGCTCTTTAAAGCTCTGTCTGCTCGTGTAATCTGGAAGCCTGGCAGAGAGATGTTGGCATCAGGGACATGATCCTGCAGCCATGTCTCAGTGAAACACATAAAACTGCGTTCCCTATACTCTTGCTGAGTCCTTGTCAGGGCTTGAAGTTCATCCAGTTTGTTAGCTAATGATCTCACGTTGCCCATTAGGATTGATGGAAGTGATGGTTTGAACTTCCTCCTTCTCTCTCGCCTCTTTGCTCCAGCTCTGCAACCACGATGCCTCCTTTTCAACTCCTCTGGGATTTGCGGCTTCAGTTGATGTATTATTTCAGATTTTGCAATATTTATCAGCCGCTCCCTGTTGTAAACCACCCTGTTGCTATGGTTACGCATCATAACAAAAAGCAAAGTATAAAAAAGGTATTGGCAAAAACCAATCCAGCTGCACAGCACCCAAAACACAAATGAACAGCCGTCCAAAAAAAGTTACTTTTTCAGCAAAAAGGCAGGAATGAACGCCTGAAAAGAAAAGAAAATCTCAATAAAAGTAACAGAGCTACTCCAACGTGCTGCCACCCTCAGCGGCGCAATTCCGGAACATGCTCAGTACTTTTACTTTTAATACTTGAGTAGATTTTGCGTCAGAAATGTACTTTTGATACTTAAGTATAAAAAATATCAGATACTTTAAGACTTTTACTCAAGTAATATTTTTAGAGAAGACTTTAACTTTTACCAAAGTATTTTTTTTGATAAGATACTTGTACTTTTACTCAAGTATCACTTTGAGGTACTTTATACAACACTGGTTAACACGTGCGTCTCAAAACAGAAAATATTACAACTTTACACCAGCTACATATTTTAACCTGCATATAAGGATGTTTTAAGATCTGTAACCTGTGTCATTAGAGYTGTTTGTAGCGAGAAAATCGTCATTATGCTAAAAACAGACTTAGTTAGCTTAGCATCAGCTAACTAAGATTTTAAAACTACCATTCTGCTTTTGTTCWAATAAAACTACTGTAAATTTAAACAGTGTTCTAATAACGCAAAACATTTAATCAACAACCAACTAAACAGATGTTTAATCCAAGTTATGTCTACAAGTAAAACTTAATAGCAGTCAAATCATCGCGCTGGCTACTTTRGCTCTCCCGGTATGCTAACGCGTTAGCTGTCTGCTTTTAGCATGCTAACTCGTTAGCTCGTCGCTTTTAGCATGCTAACGAGCCGCTGGAGAGAGTGAATTCTTTCTAAAAGCAGATGAAAACCTACCGCGTTTGTCCCGTCATTCCTGAAGACATAGCACTACTCGACCGAATAAGAAAAAGATGAGTTTTAGAGTCGAAGAACGACGGCAGCCATCAGTCCCGACGGGTTCTTCTTCCCAGGCTAGCACCGCGGTGTAGCRGCGGCTGACTGTGACGTCACCGAGCGGAAGTAGTTTTCAGGTTATGTAATGAACTCGTCTGGAAGCGTGTACGAACAGTCAGGAAACCGAGCTTTGTTCAGGGATTTTATGATTATATCCTGGAAAAACATAGTTTACTTATGTTTCTATTAGTTTTTCTCACGTTAAGTTTATATTATCTCTATTTATGTACAGTACACGTCGGAGCAGGGGCGTGGCTACGGCGGAGCCCAGGCCCATCTGGGTTCCCAGACAGGAAATTACAACAAAAATGCTTTTTCTACAGACCTATTTTATGCTGCCACTTTAAAATTACAGTATTTTGCAAAACTATCATATGTGATAACTAAGGTCTTAGCAATACTTGTGTGTGTTCACAGGATTAATAAAAACAAGGGTTTAGGTTCCCATAAACCCTTGAACTATTCTATAAATGTAATTCTCAGAAATCTGACCAYATTGAAGCCCAGCCACATACAAACCCTACATTTGTTTTATTCATTTACTTTTTTGTGTTTTTTTAAAATAACCAAGTAAAATATGCTACTCCTGCCATACTAATTTAATACATTCCTAAATAATTTAAATGATATTTGGTTATGTTTAGATGTGAATGGTTGTGTCATTTGTCTCTATGTGTCCCTGTGGTGGACTGGAGACATGTCCAGGTGTCCTAACACCTGGAGATAGATACAACTTCCCCACTTTGGATTTACAGCGGGTAAAATAAGTATTGAACACGTCACCATTTTTCTCAGTAAATATATTACTAGAGGTGCTAATGACATGAAATTTTCACCAGATGTTGGTAAC